CCACATACCATACATACCATACCATACCTGTCATACCATACCATACCTGTCATACCATACCATGGTCATACCATACCATACCGCCATACCATGCTATACCATACCATGGTCATACCATACCATACCAACCATAGTCATACCATACCATGATCATACCACACCATACCATACCAGTTGCACCATACCATACCATAGTTGTACCATCATCATACCATGGTCATACCATAGCTTTGCAGGATTTCTGCTAAGTTAGTTCAGCTGTTCCAGATGACAACTTATTCGAGGTCTTTACCTTCCCTGGGTTAATCCATATGGAATCCATGTGGAATCCATGGAATCAATCTTGGCTGAGACCACTGCCAATTTGTTGTTCCATGGACATCATGGATTCCATGTGGAATGATCATGGAATGGTCATGGAATGGTCAATTCCATATGGAATGCAGGCATATCCACATTTATTCCATGGAGCAGTCCATATGGATTCCATGGAGCAGTTCATATGGATTCCATGGAAGGAATTAATGACCATTATACCATTAGAATACATATAGATATAGTATTTATAGTGTCCTTACTATATTTAAGTAAAAAATAAATTTTGCACCTGAGAGAATTGAACCCATGATGTCATGAATGGAAGCAACGCTGTAACCACCTGAGCCACACCAGCTTTGTTATAAGGTAAACTAAAGGTCTGTATATAGCATCGTTTGTCATGTGGCGTCTCAAACGTGACAGCTATAGCTGTCATGTTGCCACATCACTTCTTTCTTTCACCACCACCACCACCATCCACCCCACTATCTCAAGCCACGACCACCCGCGACAACGATGTCGACAATGCTGACAATGCCAACGACTACCACGACAACGACACTGGCAATGATAACAACAACGATGCTGATGATGACCACGGATGGGTGGGAACGACGGTGAGTGGAAAGCCCAGGTAAGCCAGTGGTGTGGCAACCAGATGATGATGACGACATTTGTCATTGTTGTCATTTCATTCCACCCATGAACAAACCACCCCACCCATTCACCTTGCTGACCCAAACCATAGGTGCCACGTCATGACGTGCCAACCAGATGACAAACAACGACATTGACATTGGCATCTCTGTTCGCCCACCAGATCCACCACCACGCCACACCAATGTCAACGACCGCCCACCAATGAAGACGAGCACCCACAGACGTCAACCAGCGTCCACAAAGACAATGTGACTGCCCACAAAGACGACACAACTGCTCACAACACGACCGCCCACAAAACGAAGATGAAAGCAACAGCAACCCAGCTCCACAGACACCAAAACGAGCCCACCACCCACAAACGAGGACCCAGAGTGCTAGAACATATAGAATAAAGTATGGATTCCATTTGAAAAAAGTATGGATTCCATGTGGAAAAAGTATGGAATCCATGTAGGGGAAGTATGGAATCCATCAACCATTCCATGGAATCCATCTGGGGGAAGTATGGAATCCACCAGCCATTCCATGGAATCCATCTGGGAAAGTATGGAATCCATCTAGTCCATATGGAATAACCCGGGGAGGGTAAAGTACTGACTTATTCCTGTGAGTTCCTTACAACATCCCACTCTGACCAAATCAATTTGGTGTATATTTGATAGCTACATAAAACTTATTTACTACAAGTGTTTCAAAGGGAATAGGGAGGTAGAAGGGATGGGGGATGTTAAAGGGAAGGAAGGGATGTTGAAAGGAAGGGGGAATGTTAAAGGGAATGGGGTGTAGGGAACATGTTGATGGGACAGGGGATGTTAATGGGAAGGGGGATGTTGATGGGAAAGGGGATGTTGAAGAGAGGGGAAGGGGGATGTTAAGGGGAAGGGGTAGAGAAAGGGGATGTTAAAAGGGGAAGGGGTATGTTAAGGGGAAGGGGTATGTGAAATATGTTCAGGAAGGGGAGGTTGAAGGGAAGGGGGAAGGTTAAAGGGAAGGGGGTGTAGGGAAGATGTTGAAGGAAGGAAAGGGGAATGTGAATGGGAAAGGGGATGTAGAAGAGGAGGGGGATGTTGAAGGGAAGAGGGACAGCGGCGAGCCTTGTCGCCGTTGGTGTGGGGCCCTCATTCATTGTCGTCCCGCAATGGTGTCATATTGTTGTTGTGTGCATCGTATTGTTGTTGTGTGCATCGTATCGTTGTCGTGTGTGTCGTATCGTTGTTGCATGTGTTGACGTCACGTCATTGTCCCAGGTTGTCGTCATCATGTCACGTGTCATCATCCCATCGGCGTTGCGTGTCCTGGGTGCATTCCACGTTGTCGGGTGCTGTGTCCAGGCTGCAGGCAGGGGTGGGTAGTGGTGAGCCTCATTGCCATCCATGGGTCATGGTGCTGGTGTGGTGTGCATTGTCATCATGTTGGTGTTGCGTGTGCTGGTTGTGTCATCATTCCGTGTCATGTCATCATCCTGTGTCCTGTCTCTCAGCGAGGTGAGTTGGGAAGAAGGTGGGATGGGGGTGCTTACCAGTGATACACGTTGCACAGGGATGACTGTGAAAGTGCGAAACACGCAAACAAGGATCAAGCACATCGGGAAAACCCTACACACCTAAACACCCACCCACCCACACACACACACACACACTATCACAATCTCAGTGCATGAGTTCGAGGGCCTTTGGTATTGAGAAATACCACTTTTGTCTTCTTAGGTTAAGTCTCAAGAGTTTTCGTTCAAAATGGGTTTTTATTATAAGGTGTGGTTTAGAATAGTTCAATAGAACAAAGTATATCTTTCAGGGAACTTGGTCTCTTAAATGCAAAGTCCTTTGATCACAGTTTCTTTTATTAACACAAAACACGACTTTAATTGACTTTTATGACTCCTGTGAGTTTTTATTATGTCACTATGCTCCAAAACCAAAGGGTATGAGTACGCTGTCTCGTCTGAATGATACTGTGTCTTTAAAACTTCTTAAGCATGCTGGCTTCGTTCACACTGTACTTATCTGACCACGAAGAAATCTCCTTTTAATTGATTACAACTGTCCACCTCCTAAGTCTCTACTTGGAGTGCAACTAGCTGGTCAACAGGGGGGCGATTGCTTGCCTTTTGACCTGCCAGTGCGCTCCTTATATACTCCAGGAACCCCTATTTATGTTTTACATGTGTTTTAATGCAGGATACTTCGGTCTGAATTACAAATATGAATTTTTAAAGAACATGTGGTATATTTTGTAGTCTTTCTCTGTGAACACTACAGATTTCATAGTGTCATGTCTTTCATTTTCAAACGCATCAGTGTTTGATGTGTATGCGGAGTTAGCTGATGTAGCTATTCTTAGCTTGGCATGATCTCGCATGTTTATTTCTATGGCCCGGTTTACCGGTTTGACAGATGACATCACAAAATGGGCGCTCGTCGCCGTTCGTCAGTGATGGGTCGTGGGCGCTCATCACCATTGGTGATGGGCGTTCATTGACAAGGTGCTGGGCCCTCATTTCCATCCTACGGTGGTGCTGGGCATTTGATCATGGTGGTGGCTGGTGGCGTGGTTGGTATGTTTGCTGATGGTGGAGGTTGGCGTCTGGTTGGCATCGTGGTTGGTATTTGGTGTGTGGTGGTTGTCGTGGGTTGAAGAGAGAAACCACGTCACATGTTGTGACATTGGCATAATGTTGAGAAGTGCACGTGAAAGCCCATGATGCCAGGACTTTCGGCTGTAGCCTCTTATTTGTCTGTGTTGAAAACCACTTGTAATAACAAATCATCATCTGTTCTCCATCCATCTCCTTTTTGATGGGGGAATCTCTGGAATGCATGCTTAGACATTACAGTAACTATAATATATTTCTAGTGTGTTATATTACGAGGTCTTTACCATCCCCCACGTAATCCATGTGGATTCCAGTGGAGTCCAGTGGAGTCCAGTGGCCCATTTGTCAGGCCAAATTGGCTTGCACAATCCCCAGTCCACTGGACTCAAGTCCAGTCCAGTCCAGTCCAGTCCACTGGACTCTCACTGGACTACAAGCCACTTTTCTGAGTCCAGTCCCAGTCCAGTGGACTATGAGTCCAGTCAGAATCCACTGGAGTCCAGTGGATTCCAGTGATTCCAGTGCATTATTGCTTATTACTTATTATTATTAATACTACAAAAAAGCGAAATAGACTATATAGACTTATAATTCTATTGATCAATGAATGGAAAGGTAATGTTATAGATATTAGTATAGGTAGTGATAGCTGCAATAAGGATTCATGATTTTGTTCAGTCTGCGGGGTGAGATCACGTGACTACTTGAGGGCGTGCCATATCATCACGTATCCTGTATGCGGCATGGTCACACATCCGTGACCATCCCTTTCCCTTCCACCACCACTGTCCTCTAACACCGCCGACGCCAACGCCGCTCACGCCAACGAC